ACCGTAAACCATGTGAATTTCTAATGAAGTGCGGTGCTAGCTCATTTAAAATTATTCAAACAAGCAAAGGAAGGAGGAAACTTGTGGCCTATTTCGAGAATTGGGAGACCACACTAAGGGCCTTAGATACGCCACAGTTTTTCGTACCTGATGGTAAAGAGTTGAAATGGTGTTGACACTCCATTCCTACCTTGAAGAAAGCACAAAGTAAACCGAAGGTTAAAAATACACCGAATACGAAAAAGTCAGGTAAGTCTGACAAGAATTTGGATCGTAATCAGCCTAAGAAGAAGGATAAACCTACATCCTCGAAGAAAGTCCTGAAAAATAATAACCAGGAGGAGAAACACCCGAAGAATCAGAAGAAGGCAAAGAATACCTCGAAGATTAAGGGTGGTAATAAAGATAACAAGGCGGTTTTATCAGAGATTTTAACTTTATTACAGAAACTAGTCAGTTTAGCCTACGCTTTAATTAGCGGTTTTACAAATTTCAGAATTGTATTATTCTTTAGGATAGAATAGGTTTATGTGTATGCACCACAATTTCTTGGAAAGGGGACTTGTCCTCTCCACTTTTTTTCCCCCTCCTTTTTTACCCAGTGTGTCCGCCTGGATTATTATCGGTAGTGGTAGTAGTGCAGGTCTTTTATTTTCAAGAAGTTCGGGTTGGGCTCCAGCTCCTCTGGAATTCGATAGTAGGATTTAGTTGGGTTGTATTACTTCGGAATCATGCTCATTTTTATATCCCCTGCCGGCTTCACATAAAATAAATAAAAAAAAAAAATAACACATGTTTGTAAGAGTGTCTACAAAACTCTTTCCCGAATACATTTTTTACAAAAATTTCTGCGTAATAATTTTTTTTAAAAAATAATCCCCTTTATTAAATTTTATTACATAAATATAAAAATGTCTATGGATAAGAGTCGAACACAAAACGAAGAAGCTTTAGACTTCGTTTCAAAGTTTAACAAAATTTATTTTCAAACTTTTACACATCACTTAAGTTCTTTTGTACAGGACGGTTTCCTCAAAGACTTATTTGAAAAAAACCCCCTCAGTACCTAAGGATAAAGCCCAGTTATTGATACAGAAGTTTGGCGAGACAGCCAACCCTGCGAACTTCACTTCACAAGCCCAAGCTACGAATATACAACCCACCACCCTTTCGCTAATATTTTCTATAGTGCTATATGCTGCATTCAGGTCTTGGGATAATTTTTCTACCCAATTCTATTGCGATTTTGGCGATACGGGTGATGATGATGATGACGACGATGCAGAATCTCAGGATACTGATGATTATCTGATGGATGAGTCACCTTTGCTACTTGATGAAGATGATGATCTTATACGCTAAGGATTTATAAAACCACCAAATCCAGTACCTATCAAGCTTCCATCAATGCCTGATTTAGTAATGACCCCTGTTGATCAAACTGTAATACCTGAAAATTCCCGGAAGAAAGATAAACAAAAGGCGCGTATTACAGCTGATAAACAAACTACGAACCAATCAACAAAGGCAAAACCTGATGTGAAAACATCAGCCAAAAATTCCCATAAGGGAAAGAAATCATCCGAACCGAAAGCTACACAAATACTGACAGGATACGAAACTGTCAGAGAGGAGCAAGAGCGAATCTGAAACATAATTGTTTATGATATCCCGTATACCTGGGACCTGCAAAAAATTATAGCAGAGTTAAAACTATAGGGGAATACTATCAAGTGTTCAGTTAAACGCCAGCATAAGTATCAGACTCTTCAAGTCAAGATAGCACTATCCTCCTTTGCCCTTCCCCAGTTTAATAAATATTGGACGACAGACCTGGGAGGTATACCCGTTAGATGGTTCCCCACAAGTTGGACTTTATGAGAAAGAAAACAACGTAAAAAGTTCCAAGCTGTTATTCATGACATTCCGGAGGATATGACGATGGCTACCTTGTGGATGGACCGTAAACCATGTGAATTTTTAATGAAGTGCGGTGCTAGCTCATTTAAAATCATTCAAACAAGTAAAGGAAGGAGGAAACTCGTGGCCTATTTTGAGAAATGGGAGACCACACTAAGAGCCTTAGATACGCCACAGTTTTTCGTACCTGATGGTAAGGAGTTGAAATGGTGTCGACACTCCATTCCTATCTTGAAGAAAGCACAAAGTAAACCAAAGGCTAAAAATACACCGAATATGAAAAAGTCAGGTAAGTCTGACATGAATTTGGAAAGTAATCAGCCTAAGAAGAAAGATAAACCTTCATTCTCGAAAAAAGTCTCTAAAAATAGTAACCAGGAGAAGAAACGCCTGAATACTCAGAAGAAGGCAAAGAATTCCTCAAAGAATAAGGGTAATAATAAAGACAACAAGGCGGTTTTAGCAGAAATTTTGACTTTATTACAGAAACTAGTTTAGCTTATGCTTTAATTAGCGGTTTTACGAATTTCAGAATTGTATTATTTTTAGGATAGAATATAGTTATGTGTTGTACCACAATTTCTTGGAAAGAGGACTTGTCCTCTCCACTTTTTTCCCCTCTTTTTTTTTTACCCAGTGTGTTCGCCTGGACTTTTATCGGACATGGTAGTAGTGCAGATTTTTTTTCTTTTCAAAAAGTTCGGGTTGGACTCCAGCTCCTCTGGAATTCAATGGTAGGATTTATTTGGGTTGTATTACTTTGGAATCATGCCCTTTTTTGTATCTCCCGACTTTACATAAAATAAATAAATAAGTAACACATGTTTGTAAACTCTTTCTCCTTCAAAAATTTTATTTAAATTTTTTCACTTTATTTAAAATTTTTTACATAAAATAAAAATATCGAACATGGGAGACTCAGTAGAAAATATATCTGTAGACAACTTTTTAGAGTTCGTTTCAGCAGAAGGGGATACGTTCTTATCTTATACAACATTTCAGCTTGGACAGTTTGTTGAGAACGGTTTCCTCAAAACTTTGTTTGATAAAAACCTACAGCAACCTGTGGATAAAGCACAGCTTTTAGTAGATATGTTTGGCGAGTCTGCCAACCTGAACAACTTCGCCCAACAGGCAGCGGCGACGAATATACAACCAACCACCCTTTCACTATTATTTTCTATAGCCCTTTACGCTTTGTCCAGGTCGTGGGATAATTTTGCTACCTGCGCCTATACTAGATTTGGTGACATGGGTGACTCAGAGTTGGAATGCCCTCCGCTAAAGACGAATTTGGATCTACATACATATCAACACCGAAAACTTCACCAAAACCAGTACATGTTACACCCCCAATACTGCCTGATGTGGAAATGACCCCTGTCGATCAACTGTGATACCTGAAAATTCCCGGAAGAAAGATAAACAAAGGCGCATGCTACAGCTGATAAACAAGTTATATACCAATCATTTATGGCAAATCCTGAGGCATAAACCCCAGACAAACAAAATACCCTATTTTTGGGGCAAAAACATCTGCACCTGGGGTTACACATATACTGACTGGATACAGAGAAGCCGATGATGAGCGAGAGCAAGTCAGAGATATTATTGTATATGACATTCCGTATACCTGGGACGTTGATAGAATCTTAGGAGAACTAACGTTATGGGGCAAAACTATTAAGTTGTCATTAAAACGGCAATACAAATATCAGACTCTTAGAGTCAAAATAGTTTTGAACTCATTTTCCCTTCCCCAATTTACCAAGTTCTGGACGACTGACCTGGGAGGTATACCTGTAAGATGGTTCCCTGCAAGTTGGACTTTACGAGAAAGAAAATAACGCAAAAAGTTCCAAGCCATTATTCATGATATTCCGGTTGAAATGACGATGGCTACCTTGTGGGCAGACCGTAAACCACAACCATTTTTAACGACGTGTAGTACTAGCGCGTTTAAAATTATACAAACAAGTAAAGGTAAGAGGAAGCTCATAGGATATTTCGAGAATTGGGAGGCTACACTCAAAGCCCTAGAAACTCTACAAGCTTTCCGGGAGAATTCTCTAGAGTTGAAATGGTGTCAACACTCCTTACCTACCTTGAAGAAAGCACCAACTAAACAAAAGGCAAAGAATGTTCCTGACAAGATGCCAGGAAAACCGCGCAATAGTCCGGTAATGTTAACCTTAAAAAAAAGGACCTGAAATCCTCGACTAGTGCTAAGAAACAAGCCAAATCTACTAAAGACCCATTGAAAGATCCCAAATTTCAGAAGTCGAAGTCCAATAAGAAGTCTAGGGATAAAGGAGGTAATAAGGATAACACGGTGGTTTTAGCAGAAATTTTATCCTTACTGCGAAAATTAGTCTAAGAACTTCCCTTGATTAACAGCTGGGGGATTCATTCTTTTTTTTCTTAAAGATTTAGTAGTTATAAGAATAATAGATTTTATTCAGAATAGGCAAAATTCTTTTTTTCTTTTTGACTGGGAACTCTCGCTAAATTAGTGTTTGAGTGTCTTTTTTTGTTCTATTTGGTTCGTAGCTTGAGTTGCGGCTAAGCCTGCGTTCCTTGTAGAGCGAGGCTAGGCGACCCCTTCGATTTGTTCGAGAGGTTGGGTTAATCTTTAGCTTGGAATTATGGTTTTACTTTGTTTGTACCTGTTCCTATGTATAGTGCAACTCCAGTACTAGTCTTTATTTTAAAAATAAAAATAAATAAAAATAAACACATGTTTGTATGACAATTATAATAATTTAACGCAATATATAATAACACATGATACCGGTGATGATCACTGCTGGTGATTTATAGCAAAATTATATTCAAAAATAAATTTTTATTATAATATTACTAAATGGTATTATTTTTAGATTGGATTACATTCTATCGTCAAAAATGGGTTATTGCATTACTTAATAAATCTATGTCAAAAATTGCTAATGATGCTTAGATAACATTACCTGATAATACAAATGTAGCAGAAGCGGCTCATGCGCTAAGCAATCGATGTGAAAGGGATCTTAAATTGTTAATGGCTATTTTACAGTATGTAGATATATAATTTATTCTTTAAAAAATTATTATTTATTTATTAAGTTAATTTATTATAGTGGTCAAAAATTAGATAAAGAAAGATTTACTACCATTTATGTTCACCGAATATAATATACCAAATAAAAGACGTGATAATAAACATAATGGTAAGTATATTTTTAGAATTTCAGTTGTAATGCTAAATAAAAATATTGTAATTAACATTAAATTGTATCTATTTATAATTAGCTAAGAAGTTGACAAAGGTAGTCCCTACCAAACATAAACAAAATAAACATACAGGTTCTAATAAGAAAACTAAAACAAATATTATTGAAATTAAAGAGGATGATAAAGAGAATATATATATGATTTTTAGCAGAAAGATTAAAACAAAAAATGATACTGAAGAGGATAATAAAGAAAGTGAATTAACTTTAAAATTTAGTGAGCTTGAATTTCAAGAATGAGTTTTAGCTTTAAGGGAATGCAAACTTATTTTAAGAAAAAAAGAAGTAAAAATTTGTGAAATGGAATTATCACTTGCCAAAAAAGAACATGTGTTAAATTCTATTAAATAGTCTAGGTAACAGCAACCTTTTTTTTTTACAAATTAAATGAAGTAATTAGCTATTTTGACTGCTATTATATCGGTATATAGAATTTTACAAATAAATCAAAAATACAAATAGTTTTTACGTTAAAAAATCTAAAATTTGATATTTTTAATAATTTTAAATTTTTATTTATTAAGTTTTTACACTGTAAAATATTTATATTTATTCTTTAATATAAAATAAATAGATTTTAGTAAAATTATAACATAAATTAAATAAAAAGCAATTGAGTATGAAATTGAAATTTACAAAGTTATATCAAATATTAATAAATATATCAACTAATATTCAAGTTGTATGATTATACATACCATACTCAATACTCAGTTGGTTGATCTGACTCTACAACTTTCATATTATCACAATTGAATACTAACTTTTCAATTCAACAGAGTAAATTCCAGACACTTTCAGATTTCGTTAACCACAGAAGATACGCCTTGTGTGGATTATTCTTGCTAAGATAAATGGGATAATATTCTCTTTTGACAAAATAAGAGGGAAGTATACACATTTATCAACTTACAACGTGTGAAGAAATTCAGTCTTGACATACAATTAATACAAGACGTGAAGCCAAATGGAACTGTAATATTTGGTGAATATGTATACTTTTTCTTCAAGATAAAGAATCACCAGGTTATGTAGTAAAAAGAATTCTCAGTAGGTGAGGATCAGTGGTGATTCCAGTTTACAAACTCAGGTAATCCCTTCAAAGGTGAGTATTCCAGGATTGTTCCATTATTATTAGAAAATTACATCTGAGGCAATTAAGCTATACAAGTAGTGTTTGGAATCGAATATATTCGAATATACTTGAGTATTCATTTAAATTTATAAAGTGTATTCGAATAATATTCGAATAAGTTAAATTTCCTTTTATAGTAATGATTTACATAATTTTTAGCCTGAATTATGATTTTAACTTAGTTAAATTTAAGGATTTAATGCCCAATTAGAATTTTAACTATACTATATCTGGCTAAATGAATACTCGAATAACCACTATGCTTATTCGAATACTCGAATATACTCAAGTTATTCGAATAACTGTTACATGATTCCAAACACTATATACAAGGATAAATTATGACAAATCTATACAGACAGATTTATCTTAGAAAAGCAGTCAGACTTCCTCGCACTTATCACTTGTCTAGAGAATGCAGATACAACTCTAAAGACCTTCAAATTTAAAACTTCAGGATACTACTATGTAAAAAATGCAATCAAAGTTATCTGGACATGATTGCTAAGGATGTGGTCAGGTTACAACAGGTCCCCACCTACTATTAAGATAGGTTACCCTGTAGTTTAAGGTAAGGTTTATATATAAAACTCTTTAAAGATCCTACTATAAAAGGAAATTTTATGTTACATTATTATGATTTTTTTTCTAATTAACCAATAGAATTTAAGCAAATCCTAAGGTAAGGTCTCATATAAAAGTGAAATTTCTACCAGTAACATATCTTAGTAGTAGGCGGGGTAAGCATTTTAGAGACTGAGCAAACATACTACTTAATTATAATAAATTATTAAAAACTATCCAGAAATCCATCTGAAACTCCAAAGACTTTATATTATAGTTTCAGCTGGATGTAGAGATTAATTTTTATCATTTTTTAACTTAATTTTGATTTAAAGACATGGCCAAAAATCACGTGAAAAGGTTTTGGCTACAAGTATACTACAGATATTATATGCAATGTGCCTGAGTAACATTTAGGAAATATAAAAGAATCAAGGCAGCCAGGGTCATTCAGCGAGCTCCTCTGGATTTACAGACCAGATTCTCTACTGATACAAAAGACCAGACAGCACAGTAAACATATATTTTTTACTGACTTACCATAATAATATAATAGAATAAACCTATGGAATATACAATCTTACAAGATACTCAAATGAAAAATACAGATGGATTAGGTGGATGAGATCATGAAACTTTCATATTCATGGTATTTTAGAATACTACGAAGGACAGCAACTCTATCTGAAGTCTTGCAAACTTTTATTCAATTATATTGCCCATATTAGGGTATTAAGAGAAATACCACAGAAATACACTTATTACTGTAATAATGTTATAGTTGATAAATCTAATAAAAATCAAGCAATATGGCTATATAAATATACATGTCCAAAGGTGATGAACTTTGGGTTTTATAAATATAATGCCAAAATGATCTAAAATGTCTTTAGAGGATATATAATAAGAAAGAAGTCCAAAGCAGCTAAGATTATTCAGAAAGTCACTCTCCCTTAATTGTATAGACCAGGTGCGTCTTTGATACAGAAGACCAAGTGACACTTTTATCACCTTCTTATTTTTTGTCATACACGAATAAATAACTGAAGATTCCTATTTGTTATAAAGTACAAAAAAGTACAAGGAATTATGTTAACATATACAAAATTCGCAAGCATTGGCAACAAATATATCAAGTCTGAGAAATCTAGCAAAACCAGTTACCTCATCCAGGATCATGTGAGGTATATCAAACAAACCCAGATAGCAAAGTCTCCTATAGCATACATGAAGTTTGTAGCAAAAAAGTTATTTCCAGGGGACAAGAACACTAGAGACCAAACATATACCACTAAGATAGCCAAAATCTGTGAGTCATACAAGAATAAGCCAACTCTCTTATCCAAATTTAAGGCCCTCTTCATGTTGTATTATAACTTAATTAAGGGTAGTCTATAGTAAGCCATTTTCTGTGATTATAAAAATACATAAAAATTAAATTTTTAATACAGCTTGTTAGAATCATCTCAATAAGACAATTCCAACAAACTGTATTACATCTTTTTACAATCATTGGATGCTGAGCAATTTATTATATTCTTTACATAACTGTGACTATAAACAGTACTTTTTAATAAGATTTTTGAAAATGAATTGTGATTATATAGGATAGATTTTAATAATAAAATGTTTTGAACATCCAACTGATGTAACTATATAGTAGAATGTAACTATAATGAGAGTGACTATAAAGGAAGTTGACTGTACCATTAAAATCAGTATTTTTTTGTCTTTTCATTTTACTACTAATTGACAATGAAAAAACTCTTTCCTGAAAAACATTTTTTATGAAAATTTATGCGTAATAATATTTTTTTTAAAAAAATTTATCCCCTTTATTAAAATTTATTACAAATAAAAAAAATGAATATGAACAAGAATAGAATATAATACAAACTAGCTGTAGAGTTCGTTTATAGAGGACAGTTTTCTCAAGAATTTATTCAAAAAAAACCTGTCAGTAGTTAAGGATAAAGCCCAGCTACTGATAGAAAAGTTTGGCGAAGCTGCCAACCCTGCGAACTTTACTTCACAAGCTCAAGCAGTGCTCAAGCTACGAATATACAACCTACCACCCTCTTGCTGATATTTTCTATAGTGCTATATGTTTCGTCCAGGTCTTGGGAATATTTTGCTGCCAATTCTTGGATTAGATGAGTCATCTGAAGATAAGCCTGATGAAGATAAATTCGATCAAATGATTAATAAAATAGGATTACAAATACCAAATTTAGTAGTTGAAATGCTTCCAATTTATTTATTTATTTATTTATTTATTTTATGTGAAGTAGGGAGAGAAATATACAAAGGCATGACTATAAAATAGTACCACCTAACCGAATCCTACCATCAACAACCAGAGGAGCTGGAAGCTGACCCGAACTTCCTGAAAAAAAAGACCTGCACTACTACCACGTCCAATAAAAGTCCAGGCAAACACACTGGGTAAAAAAAAGGAGGGGAAAAAAAGTGGAGAAAACAAGTCCTCTTTCCAAGAAATTGTGGTACAACACATAAATATATTCTATCCTAAAAATAATACAATTCTGAAATTCGTAAAACCGCTAATCAAAGCATAGGCTAAACTAGTTTCTGTAATAAAGTTAAAATTTCTGCTAAAACTGCCTTGTTATCTTTATTATTACCATTTTTCTTCGAGGAATTCTTTGCCTTCTTTTGAGTATTCAGATATTTCTCCTCCTGGTTATTATTTTTAGAGATTTTTTTTGAGGATGCAGGTTTATCCTTCTTCTTAGGCTGATTACGGTCCAAATTCTTGTCAGACTCACCTGACTTTTTCGTATTCAATGTATTTTTAGCCTTCGGTTTACGTTGTGCTTTTTTCAAGGTAGGAATGGAGTATCAACACCATTTCAACTCCTTACCATCAGGTACGAAAAACTGTGGCGTATCTAAGGCCCTTAGTGTAGTCTCCCAATTCTCGAAATAGGACACAATCCTTTACTTGTTTGAATGATTTTATTAAAAATTCACATGGTTTACGGTCCATCCACAAGGTAGCCATCATCATATCCTCCGAAATGTCATGAATAACGGCTTAGAATTTTTCACATTGTTTTCTTTCTCGTAAAGTCCAACTTGCAGGGAACCATCTAACAGGTATACCTCCCAAATCTGTCGTCCAATGTTTATTAAACTGGAGAAGGGCAAAGGAGGAAAGTGCTATCTTGACTCTAAGAGTCTGATACTTGTGCTGGCATTTAACCGAACACTTGATAGTATTCCCCATAGTTTTAACTTTGCTATAATTTTCTGCAGGTCCCAGGTATATGGGATATCGTAAACTATTATGTCTTGGATTCACTTGTGCTCCTCTCCGACAGTTTCGTATCCTGTCAGTATCTGTGTGGCTTCCGGTTCGGATAATTTCTTTCCCTTATGGGAATTTTTGGCTGATGTTTTCACATCAGGTTTTGCCTTCATTGATTGGTTCATGATTTGTTTATCAGCTGTAACATGCGCCTTTTGTTTATCTTTCTTCCAGGAGTTTTCGGGTATTACAGTTTGATCAACAGGGTCATTACTAAATCAGGCATTGATGGAAGCTTGATAGGTACTGGATTTGGTGGTTTCTGGAATCCTTGGCGTAAAAGATCATCTTCATCAAGTAGCAAAGGTGACTCATCCATCA